TGCAAAGTGAGAGTCAGATGGGGGAGGCCCGTCAGGTGACCCAGTCTGGAGGTGGTGGGGCAACGCCCTCCCAGGAGCTTGGATTTGTGTCTTTTGATATCAAATCCAAATCTGAGTGCCCCACTAGAGGACACTTCCTTTAAAGAAACCAGTCATGTGGCCGAGGAGCTAATAATAGCTGAGATGTAACAGATGCCATTGTTCGGTAATAGGATAAAAAGGAGATGGGCTTCAGAGCCAGGCTGACCTGGGTACAGATCGTGGCTCTGCTGTTTACTAGTTGCGTGACCTTGGGCAAGGGACCTCAGCTCTGAGCCTCACTTTGCCCTTTTATAACAATAATGATTATGAAACTTACCTCACAGGATTGTTCCAAGTAGATGGAAACATAAAAAAAAAAAAATCTCAGGTGCCCAGTAGATTACCTGGAACATGGTAGGCTCTCAATAGATGATAGCTTTATTATTACTGTTACTAGTCAAGTACCGAATTGGGTGAAATCTAAGTAATAAATTTCTAGGCCATCAGGAAAGGATGAAATCAGTGCAGACTGGAGACTTGATGGAACCTCCCTTGAAGGGTTCTTAAGATTCTTAAGGGATTTCTAAGATTCTTAAACAGCAATCCTCTTAATAGTGTTTGGAGTTCTCAGCCATCCCAGTGGACTCAGACTCCATTATTTGTACTCATGTGCATAATGCAAAAGTCTTTCCCCGAACAAAGTCATTAATGACCAGGCAGGGACCGGTCTGTAGGCCGGGTATGTGACTGAGGCCGAGACAGCCCGGGACAAAGCTAGGTCTTTGGTGATGCCAACATTGAAGAGACCTGTCACAGTGAACAGTTAACACGCTTGGGTTCTCATCATGGGCCATAAGGGCTGGAAAGTACAGTGATTTTTATTTGTTTTCGTGTGATGGCACAGCACTGACATTCCGTCTCTGTGCCTCAGTTTCCCGTTCTCCCTGCTGTGCCCACCTCTGCGAATGGCTGTGTCGATCAAATGGCAGAGTGTACACGGCCTGGTTTTGGAGATGAGTCTACGTGTACTCATGGAAGGGGTGATTCTGGGTGGGCGGGAAGAGGGAGGCGGTGGGGGGAAGCTGGAGGCAGAAATCTGGGATAGGGTCGGGCAGGGGGGAGGCAGGAAGCAGGTGCCGGGCTGGTGTGGGGGCGGCCGGGGAGACCCAAACCAATTCATGCCGCCCCGCGTCCAGGGGCATGTGCACGGGTCCTGGCTCCGCGGGACAGGTGCCGGTGCCAGTGCCGGTGTCGGTGCCGGTCACCCAGGGCCTGAGGCCTGAGCCAGAGGCGGCCCTCCTCCGGGCTCTCTGCCCCTTGCAGCCTGCCCCGCGGCCCACCAGCTGCAGCTCTGCCGCTGTTGCATGAGGTTCAAGTGCCCTCTCCTGGCCCCCAGGGTGCATGGCGGCCTGGGAGAGTAGCTTCCTCCCCGCGAGGACTGGGAGGCCACCAAGTCCTTTGTCTGGGCTGCTATTGGAGCTCTGGGGACCTTGGTTGGGGTGAGGAGCACATCCCTTCACTCCCCCAGTCCCCAGTTTCTCTCCCACATGAACATCCCTCCTCTCGACTCATTTCCTTCTTCCCTGTCTCACAGCCTCCTTTTTTTTTTTCTTTTTTTTTCCTCTTCATCTTTTCATCTGTCTCTCTGACTCTCAGGCAGGCACAGACACAGTCCGGGACGCCCCCCTCCTGCCTCCCCCTCCAGCCCCTCCTCTCCTCTCTCTTGCTTTTCCCTTCTCCTTCTCTCTCCGTCTTCCTGCTTAGCTCCCTTCCTCTCTTAAGGCCAACAGTGGCAAATAGTGGAAATGCTCTGCGGGCAAAGCCACATCCCAGGCCAGTGTTTTCCGCCCACAGGATCTTGAGCAGGTGCGCAGGACTGAGCCAGTGGCCGCGCAGGGCGGGCCGCGACCCCCCCTCCGGCCTGCCAGCAGCCCCACTGGCGGCCAGTCCTTCCTGTTCGTCCTGTCTTGGCTTCTCCAGGCCTCTGTCCCCTCTCTCCCTCCTCGTTCCCTTCTCCTCGGAAGGAGATTCAGATTCAGATTTGAATACCATTTATTGAGCTTTTCAGAAAAGTGGGGATTTGACCTTCACCTTGAAAAAGCTGTCTTTCAGGGATCACTGTTTCTGTCTCCTGCCTCCTGCCTCCCCTCTTGACCAAGTGCGTGACCAGGGCATGTGAACGGAGCTAGGGACACGGGAAGGTGTAAGAATGTCAAGGGGAGAGTCTCTCTTCCCAGTGCCTCCTATGGGGAAGGCCTGTAGTGAGGAAGGAGCCACCTCCCAAGCCTCACACGACGTCCTGGTGTGTGCGTCCACGGGCTAGCTCTGCCAACTGGTTTGCTTATTTCTTTACCATTTGTGCTCTTTGCAACCGAGGCACCTGCCATGATAAAGCACCATAGATCATTTCCTGGCACTGAGCTCTTAAGGAAACCTCTCACCCAGGGACCCGTGTTGGGAGAAGTGACGTCTGTCTGGCCTCTTGCACAGTCCTTCCGTGTGTGCCGGCGCCTCTCATGGTGCTGCCCAAGGAAGGCCAAGGGCACAGTCCCGAAATATGTTCCAAGCCCGCCACTGTCTGAGGTCCAGCTGACTCCAGTAACACAGGCTGCATCCTCCACACCAGCCTTGGGGAATGGAGGGTCCCTCAGCCCAGTTATGGGGAAGCCAGTCAACCGGCCCGGACTTGGGCAAGGGCCAGGACCGTAGGCATTCGAGCTGGAGTGGTTCGGGCCTTAGGAGCCCACATTCTCTGCAATCATGCACAGCTGACTTCAAATCCTCACTATGGCATTTCTGAGCCGTGTGTAACTTTGAGCAAGTTCCTTCACCTCTAGGGACCTCAGATCCTTACCTGGAGAATAGAGATAAACCACCAACTCCCCACAGTTTGTGTGAGGTTAAATGCGAATGTATGTAAGTACTGAACACCCTGACTGGTTCCTAGTAAGAGATGGAGGCTATTATCACACGTAACAATTCTGTGTGATCCTTTACGATGATCCCAGTAGGTCAGGGGTCTGCTGCATACATGGAGAATCTACTCAGATGGAGAGTCTGCTGTCTGGATGGAGAATCATCCACACCACCCCTAAAACCAGAAGACTAGTTTTAAGGCAAAAGAGATTCTTCCTTTGAGTTCTCTCACAAGAAAACTGTGGCTTGAGTCTGCCCCTACTTGTTTGCAGTGAGGGCAGACTGGAAAATCCCAAACTCCCTTCCCTTCGGCCAAGCATTTCAGTATTAATTTGTGCAAGTGGGTGTCTCTGGGATTCTGGGAACGCACAGAGGGTAAAGCAGGAGGAGATAGCTGAGTCTTAGAAAGTTGGAAAGCTCTTCAATGAAGGAAAACATCTACAGTTTGCCTACCACATGGTAGGCATTGTGCTAAGTATTTTATTAGCTTATTCAGTTCTCACAGCAACCCCATGAAGGAGCTATCCTTCCTGTCTTGCAAGTGAGAAATTGTTGGCTCAAGGTATTAACTCACCTGGGGTCACACAGCTTGTGCAGGGCAGAGCCAGCCTCTGACCCCGAGCCCTGACTTCCCATAGCACATGCCCCGCTCCTGTGCTCCTAGCCCAACTGCTGGAGATTTGGCCTGTCCCGTCACCCCTCCCCACTCCTCCCCAGCCCTCCAGCCCCCTCTGCTCCTCAGAGAGGCAGCACACCACCACGCCTGGCACAGCAGACCCTCTCTCCAAGGATGCTGGCTCATGCTGTCTCTCCTCTGGTCTGGCTCTCTTCTGAGTGATGGAGAGTTTTCACTTGGCCTAAACTCCTTGCATACCTCGGCGCTGGAGAGTAATTGTTGAGGGAAAGTTACTGGGCTCGGCTGAAAGTCATTTTTAGATTCCAGAGCAGGACAAGTAGGAACAATGACATCACATGTGCATGACTAATTCAAAGCACTTTAATCTTCAAAATGTCAAACTTTATGGTCAGTGGCTGTTCACAGCGAGCGGTGGCACTGTGAATGTTAAAATACCAGGGTGGCAGGGCATCGAGACTGGGAGTTTTTGTAAGGGCAAACCATCTCCAGAGGTGATGGCTGGTGCTTGCAGGCCAGCTCTGAAGCACAGTCTGAAACACAATGTCATTGTAAGTGAGTGGCCACCGATGATTAATATGTTCTAGGTAAATGCACATTAGCAGAGGTCTCTACTACAACCCTGAAAGATAGGCATTGTGGTCCCCTTGGTGCAGGAAGTAGGGGGAGGAGACTGGTGCTCTGAGTAAGCAGGGAATTTATGCAAGGTCATGTAGTCAGCAAGTGCTTCTGCTAATTCCCCAAGTCAGGTCTGTCAGCCTCCAAAGCCAGCTCTGCTGCAGCCACAGCAATTGCCTTTTGCCTTCATGGCTTTAAAGTTGGATCTGTCAACGATCTGAGACAAATTTGGAATAAGTAAAGTCCTACTTCATATAACCTTAGGTCTGTGTTAAGAAACCGGAGGAGCCTCACCAACTGGTGGCCCATGGATGATTCTCTTCTGCAGATGGTGGGTTTGGCCAGATTCTATCCATTGGGTTCTGACCTCCTGGGAATCAGGGGAGCCAGGCTGGAATCCAGACATCCAGAAACTTCCTGTGTGACCCAGGGACTTCATGTTCCCTCTCTGGGCTTTCATTTTCATATTTATAGAAGTGTTAGAGGGATTGATGGAAAAACAAATACTTACCAAGCACCCACTCTGTAACAGGTCCTGTGTTGGGCCCTGGAGATCAAAGATGAATAGACATTGCTTCTGCACCCAAGGGGGCAGTTGAACTAAGGAATCTCTGATGTCCTAGGTATGGTATGAACTCAAATTGCAACTATAAGTACAGATGATGAGTTAAGGGTATTTGACCCTTTTCAGTGTGTCTTAGATCTACTGGAACCTAGACACAAGGCTTTGAACTACATCCCAATGGGTCCAGGCAGGGAGGCAAGTGAGCATATACAAACCCAAAGACATTGGCCATTCATTTATTCGATTATTTACTCATTGTTTAACAAGGAGTTTCTGAGCACTCCTTCTGTGTCAGGTCCCATACTCTGAGGCTGGGGACATAGAAATGGACCAAGCAAGGCCCCTGCATTCCAAGGTACAATCTGATGGGAAAGTTGACGTGCAGATGTTACAATTAACAGACATTCTAGACCAAAGCCCAGAGACATGACATGACACAAATGCTGGGTGAGGAGCTAGAAAAGTCTAGAGTTTCAATGCTGGGAATGACAGCGGATGGAATATTCTTTCTCCCCTCACTGATGTTGGGTGTATCTGGGTGACTCGCCTTGGTGAAGGTGATGCTAACAAAACTGACTTGGACAGAGGTCTTCCACATGCCCATGCAGTTGGGCTTAACCCTGGCTATTGCAGCCAGCTGCCAGGAGAGACACTGGCACCTCAGCCCAGCCCTAGGATGCACACTGGGAACCAGCCTGCAGCCAACGCAGCCTGGAGCCCTCCCTTCTGGCCAAGTTTATCCTGGATCAGTCAAACCCGTCACATGCATACCTGGGAGACAAAGAATGAAAAATAGATAAAATCATTAGGGAGTGCTTAGAGATGGGACTGCACAGAGTGTGAGGGCCTGGCTTTGGGTGCCCTACTGTGGAAGGTACGTGCTGGTCATTCTGAGTGATCATGATCAGATTGTCAGGATTCTCGACCCACCAAGAGAGCTAGCAACCACAAGCCCCAGTGGAGCGTAAGGGGCCAAATACGACTTCCCAACAGAGGATTCCATGAGGTGTGTGCCATGAGGACCAGAACATCTTCCGTGCTCCCAGCTGAGGGGGGAAGTGTATCACAGAGATTCCTACCCCCCAGAAGGTACTGATACCTCAGCCTGTGCACAGCTGCTCAAGGCTGGAGTGGAAGGCCCTGGGCCCAGTAACCTCCAGCAGAAAGCAGCCCCTCCCTTCCCCCTTCACTGTGCAAACAAATAGCATCTTCTCTGTGAGTCTCAGCATGAAATATCGAGAAGCACTGGGTTAGCATGAGGGGTCCAGGCCCTGCCTGTGCTGCTGAGGATGCACTATCTGCTGTTTCCCTCCCAACGAGGTCTGTCCCCTTTAGGCCCCAGACATGTCTTCCTTCCTTCAGACGGTGAGCAGAGAGCAGAAAGCCAGTATTGCACCTTTGCATCCATAATATACCATCGGAGGATTTTTTTATTACCTTGTCAAGACAAAGAGCAATGGGCTGCATTTAAATTCAGGACCCAACCGACTGCAGCATCATGTCTGAATCCTTTATAGCAGCCTCTGCTTTAGCTTTGAGAGCTGCCCCAGACAAGCCTCCACTGGGTCCCTGTCCCCAACCGTTCTGTCTCCCTCCAGTGCCAGGCCTCACATGCACTTAGATGGTAAAAGAAGGACAGAGTCAGCGTGGTATGGGCCCAGACTGCTCTCAGAGCACAGGAATGTCTGCGTGTAAGGAGGGCTGGAACAGGTGGGGACGCCTTCCTGGAAGTGGTGAGTCTCCTAATAAGATTTAGTAAGGTGCTCACGGTTTCCAGGGCTTTCACATATACAGGGTCACAACAAATCATCACAGCAGTTCTGTGAAGGAGGAACAATTATCCTCATTTTACAGCTTAGAAAACAAAGGCTCAGTGAGGTCAAATCGCCTGACAGAAATGCACAACGTGGTTGTATAAGTCAGGCTTCTCCAGAGAAACAGAACCAATAGGATTTAGAGAGAGAGAAGGATTTATTTTAAGGAATTGGCTGGGGTGCTTATGGAGGCTGGCAAGTCCAAAATCTGCAGGGTAGGCCAGCAGGCTAGAGACCCAGGGAAGAGCAGACTTAACAGTTCAGCCCTGGACACCTAGGTTACTCAGTGGTTAGGCGTCTGCCTTACTGCTCAGGGTGTGATGCTGGGGTCCTGGGATCGAGTCCCGCATCTGGCTCCCCGCGTGGAACCTGCTTCTCCCTTTGCCTGGGTCTCTGTTTCCCTCTCTCTGTGTATCTCTCATGAATAAACAAATAAAATCTTTAAAACAAAACAAACAAACAAACAAAAAAAACGTTCAGACCTGAAGGCTGTCTGCTGCAGAATTCACTCTTGCTCAAGAGAGGGTAGTCTCTTGTTCTACTCAGGCCTCCAGTTGATTGGATGAAGCCCACCGACATTATGGAGAATAATCTGCTTCACTCAAAGTTCACCAAGTTAAGTGGTAATCTCTTTCAAAATTCCAGATCCTGGGATCCCTGGGTGGCGCAGTGGTTTAGTGCCTGCCTTTGGCCCAGGGCGCGATCCTGGAGACCCGGGATCGAATCCCACATCAGGCTCCCGGTGCATGGAGCCTGCTTCTCCCTCTGCCTGTGTCTCTGCCTCGCTCTCTCTCTCGAGTCTGAGACACAGGCAGAGGGAGAAGCAGGCTCCATGCACCGGAAGCCCGATGTGGGATTCGATCCCGGGTCTCCAGGATCGCGCCCTGGGCCAAAGGCAGGTGCCAAACCGCTGCGCCACCCAGGGATCCCCAGTCCAGGCTTCTGATCAGGAAAAGAGGTTGTTACCTCAGGTGGAGCCATGAATATCAATATATTTGAGGGGTAAAAACGTGCCATTTGAGTTCCCTCTGCAGTTTTGCTTCTGATAAATATAATATTCCTTTACTTGTTCATTTAGTACTGAACAGCCTTGGGATTTCTTTTTTTTTTTAAGAATTTATTTATTCATGAGAGACAGAGAGAGAGAGAGAGAGAGAGAGGCAGAGACACAGGCAGAGGGAGAAGCAGGCTCCATGCAGGGAGCCCGATGGGGGACTCGATCCTGGGACTCCAGGATCCCGCCCTGGGCAGAAGGCAGGCACTAGACCACTGCGCCACCCAGGAATCCCTATCATAAATTAATTAATTAATTAATTATTTTTAAAAAAGGCAAAATTCCAGATCCTTCACAGAAACATCTGGAATAATGTTTAGACCACTTAAGTGGTCATCATGTCCCAGCCAAGCCGATATGTAGGGTTGGTGGTCACAGTGGCAGAGCTTGACCTTGCCCCCAGGTCTGTTGGTTCGGATCTTGGCCCAGACTACATCACAGTACACACGGGGAGCTATTGACTCTAAAAACAAAGAATTTGAAGGGGTGGCATGTAGTCCAATTTAACACATTTTATTGAGAGTCTTCATTGTGCCTAGCTCTGTTAATACTGAGATTTAGATTTTTTTAAATTCATTTTGAGAGAGAGAGAGAGAGAGAGAGAGCATGAGTGGGGGGGGGGGAGAGGGAGAAGCAGGCTTCCTGCCAAGCAGGGAGCCTATGTGGGGCTCAATCCCAGGACCCAGGGATCTTGACCAGAGCCAAAGGCAGACACTTAACTGACTGAGCCTCCCAGGTGCCCCTAATACTGAGATTTAAAATGAAATAAAACAAAATAGCATCCACTATCACAGTCTGATGGAGGAACTTACAGTCTGGTGGTGATGCAGAGAAGGCCTCTGGAGAGTGGGTCCTCATGAAGCGAGCCTCAGTGGTATAGGACCCAGCATGTTAAGGAACTGTCCCATCTGGAATGGCGAGTTCATACAAGGGAGGCCCAGGAAGTAAAGCCGGCAAAATCTTCTAGAACCAGATAATAGCCTTGAGTGCCATAGTACTAATTTGATGTTTTAGCTTATAGGCAATGGGGAGCCAGAGAAGGTTCTTGGGCAAGAAAATAGCATGAGGAATTGACTATTAATAGGAGAACAGATGGTGTATATGGGAGGAGGTAGAGAAGGGGAGCCAGCTTAGTTTACCCTAGACTAGTGGGACCTTCCTCTCAGTATGATTTTGGGAGCACTGCAGGGTCCATACTTCATTCCCCAAGCACTAGAGAAACAACTGGCAGGGGCCAAGTGTTTCTCCCACCTATTGACTTCTCAGGGAAGACACAGAATTAAGAAACAGACTGGGTTAAGCAGCAGGCATTGCCCTAGGTGTTTCCCTAAAGAACCATGTGGAGAAGATAGGACTGGTTACTGCTCTCATTAGACCGATGAGGTCATTGAAAGTACCTGTCCAGGGTTACACAGCTGAGTCCATCTGGCCTCAGAGTCCGGATTCTCACCGTGTGACTCCACAGCCAGGGCTCTGAGCCACTGAACCGCGCTGGGCTGTGGCCTTGGGAGGGGCCCTCGACGCTCCAGCGTCGTAAGGAGAAAAGAGGAGTAAATGGAGGGGCAAAGAGAAAAAACCAAGAGTTGAGGAAACAAAGCCATTTTTGGAAGACTCCCATGCCTTACCAAGGCCTGACTCAGGAACAGGTGCTGGAAACAGACACGTAGCCATATCTGGGAAAACAGAATGCCAGCCAGAGAGACCTCAGAGAGACGATGATCACTTGCCAGAAGCCATCCCGAGCTAGAGGCCCAGCTCCACCCACTGTCCAGACTGTTTCTGTTGGCACTGGGAGAGGAGTCATTGCTTACTGCTCGCAGGGCCCTCTGCTGGACTCTCGTCCCTACAAGCAGGCCAGCCCTTCCCAGTTAACCTTCCATGCTAGGGTGGGGTGAGCCCAGGAGAGGGCAGCGATTTCCTGGTTTGCTCCCATCTGTAACCATTGTCTTACCTGGTGGGAGGCATCATCTGCTGTAATTAGGCTTCATTAAAATGCTGATTAATAACATCCTGCCTGGGCCAGGCGGATGCTTGGATTGGCCTCATCACTGTAAATGTGAGTGTTTTTTGCAACTATTTACACACAGTTAACACCTCTGCAGGGCCCCAAAGGAAGGAGGCAGCGCAGGCTGTTCAAATAGCCCTGAGCACAGGGAAACCCAAGGCAAGGAGGTGGCCAGAGATGGAAGTGGAGTCTGAGCGTGGAGGGCTGAGGGGCCGAGCTAAGCTCCCAGTCTAGGTTACAGATGGAGCCTCACCAACTGGTGGCCCACGGCTGATTCTTTTCTGCAGATGGTGGGTTTGGCCAGAAGAATGTTTGCTGGCTGGTGAGTTGGTTGGTTGGTTGATTGAATGTTGAGTTTGAGGGGTTTTGAGTGTGGCATTTGCTGTCCAATTTGCCACTGATCCTATTGTTTCACAGCTGTCGTTGCACATATTTCTTACCTGACAGGTAAGAGGTGAGGCGGTAAAAAGAACACATTTATGGGCAGCAGATGTGTGTGAACAAAGAGTTAGAAAGGTAAGAGCAGGAGCAGGGATCAGATAGGCATTGCGGTGCCCAGAGAGGATGAGACGGAGCCGAGAGGTAAAGGCAGTGTGGAGTCTCCAGGTTCCCATGTCATCTCCAGGGGTTGGAGTGTGAGTGTGGGGGGGGTGAGAGAGGTGGGTCAGGAGAGGCTACAAGGAGATGGCAGGAGCCAGCGCCCAGAAGGAGCCTTGAATACTGTGTTTAACGGGCTAGGGCTTGACCTAGAGAAAGTATGGAACCCATTCAAAAGGAGTTTCAGTCAGAGAGAAACACAGTCCTACCCATGTCCTAGAAATATCACTCCGGCAACAGTGACAAGAATGGCCCGGACAGCAGCAAGGAGAGACCAGAGGCCATTGAGACCATCTAGAAGCGTGACCATAACGCCTGAACCAGGGCAGAGGTGGTGCAGTAGGGAGGAAGAAAGACTCGAAAATCAGGTCTGGGGGTGAACTCAGTGAGAGATCCACTGGTTTCCTTCCTTGAGGGAGACAGCAGTGCTTCCGATTGATCACAGGCCTGGCTGTCATGCCCATGAGGTTTCCAGGAGAAAGCCCAGAAATGGAGGAACGCTGACCTCATACCCCACCTTCCAAACAGAAGCCAGGGCTCGTGAAAAGCCAATCTTCAGTGTGAGGTGGGGCGTGGTGGGGGTGGCGGGACGAGAAGAGCTTGGGTGGGGTCTTCCCATCTCTCATCTCTCGGGCCTCACCATAGCAGCAGAACTTTGCCAACTTCTCATTTGCTCTCACAGGTCAGCCTGGTTTCATAGCCCAGAGATCAGCCACTTTCCCAAAGCTACTGGGGGCCAGAAGTTTTTTGTCATATCTTTTCTATATTTAAGAAGCTTATTTCTGTTTCTCTGTACCTATATGATCCCTATTTATAAGACTTCTTGTTTGTCTCTCTCACACACACAGTGTCTGTCTCTCTTTGTCTCTGAGAATTTCTATGTCTGTGTGTTGCTTCTCTCAGTATCTCTCCCTCTCCGTGCTTCCCTTTTTCCTAGCTCATTTTTTTCCCTCCCTCTCTCTCCTCTTCCCCAATTCTCTTTCTCTCTATCCCCAGTTCTGATTAGACAAATGACTCAGGGATGGGGCCAGTCTCTGCCCGGTGGCTAGGCTAATTGATGGCTGCTATAGAATTGCCTAAGCAAGGAACTCTTGTCATTAGCAAGTGATGGGTTGCCTTGGCCTACAACTAGGAAACCTTTGAAATCCTGCATCTAAATTGCCATTCTTTTGACTGCTGCTAGTGATGCTAATTAGCTGTGTTAATTGGATGTTTTGATATTTGAAGAGCAAAGCAATCCAATTCCTTCCTCCAGAAAGCCAAAATTATTAATGAACTTGGCAGCAGCCTTGGCTTTCTTTCCACAGTGGGCACAGCCAAAGATTTTGGGGCAGGGGAAGGGCTGGTTCTGAGGAAGTGCCTTGTGTGCTCCTGGGGAGAGGGAGAGGCTGAGAAGCTGGCTATGGAGCTTCCTAGTGGTGAAATCACGCAGCGGGACAGAAGGGTCTCAGATCCTGAGTTCAGAGACCAGCATAAGGAATTTGACTCTGCTCTGCCATTATCTGCCCTGTTTGAAATTTTGCATCCCGATGCCGAACACGGTGCCTGACACACAGTCAGCATCTAACACGTATGATTGAGTGAATAACCAATACAAGCACTGATTTTGGAGTCAGATTCAAATTCCAGTTGGACCATTTTCTAGCTTGATGATTTGAGCAAAAGTTACCTCACCCATGGATCTCAAATTTTCCTCCAACTACATATTAGTGAACAGTTCTGATCAACATAATTTTCTTCAACTTGCTATATTTTCATTGATGTTTTAGCATCCTTTCACACATGCTTGGTACCTCAAATGCCTAACCTGTCTCTTAATCCGGTTTGGATCATAAAACAGTGTGATTAAAGCTGAAGGAAAGGTAGGTCCAGGATTCTGTGGGGACACAGAGAGCAGATCAAGTAAGCAACTAAATTCAGTCTTGAGGAATCTGGGAAGACTTCCTAAACAGGACAGACTTTGAGCTGGCTTTACAAAGGTGATTAAACATTCACTAAGAGGAAAAGAGGAAGACATTCCACAAGGGCCTGAAGGCCCAGAGCTGTGGATAAACTCACTGCTCTGAATTAGAGACCTAAATGATCTCTTACAGCATTGTTTAAGGGAGAAAACTATAATCAAGGGCAGGAACAGGAATCTAGAGAAGAAAAGGCTGGGTGTGGTAGACTTGACATCTCACTCACCAATGGAAGGAAATTTCTTCGGGAAGCCAAGCCCACAGCCTACAATCTAGTTAATTGCTCCTTGGGATGTTTTCAAACACCATGAGGGGCACAGCTTGGACAGAATGATCATGAGTTCCAAAGACATAGTACAAAGATTATGAGTGATTACTGCATCTTAAAAGTGTTGGAATCTATCTAATCTAATCTAAACTGCCCCTTTAAGGGAAGCAAGGAAGGAAGGAAGGAAGGAAGGAAGGAAGGAAAATCGAAGGAAAGAAGGAAGTAAGCAAGCTTTCTTAAAACCATAATATTTAAAATCATTTCCAATTTACAGATGTGATGCTCCTTCTGTGCATACCTCATACTTCGACTTTGTATTAAAGGATCATCAGAAATTGAACAGGAATAGAGTTTTGCAAGGACATCACACGGGCAAAGGCACAAATGACAATGGAGCATTGGGAGTACCCGGTGCTAGAGTGTGGCCAGGGCATGGGATCAGTATTGGGGAGAGACTACATAGGTGGGTGGGGGCCACATCACAAGAGGTTCCGGGTGAAGGAGATTGACAATTTATCCTACAGGCAATGAGGAGCTTTCTTAACGTTTTAAAAACAAAGAACTATACAATATGAGATGTTACAACATCTCTTTGATGTTCCTTTTCATAGTTCCTGCTAGACAGTGAGCTCTGAAAGGAGCTAATCATTTCTGATTTATATCTGTGTCTCCAGGACAAGGAACATAGTAGGTATTCACAATCTTTGGCTGCCTAAAATTGAGGTGGCTTAACTGATACCCAAAAGGGGTAATGACTTGTTCAGCATCACTGAGAAACCTGGTGGCAAAAGTGGGCCTTACCCCAGGCCAGAGCTTCGGCAGGTATACCGCTAAATCAACATCCCTGGGCACCAGATCTCAGCTGATTCGGGGATTTGGATTTGAGTGCATCCTGTGTGACATGGTCTAGGGACACGGCTCATTACCTCCAGATCTCTCTCGGTAGTACTGAATCCTTTACCTCAGAAAGCCTAGCAGAATCCGGGCCCAACCTTAGGAAGTTCGTTGGCCTTTGGTATCCTCATAAGACCCACTGATGTCCTGGCCCAAATGTTCTCTCCTGGGTCACCCATTGCCATTATCACATATTTAAGGATCACCAAGGCTCAAGGCCTGGGGGATAGAAAAAAATGAGTCAGACACAGTTGCTGTGCTCAAGGACTAGTCTGAACCTGAACATCTCAAGACACAGACCAAGTTGGATGCCTCTCAGCATCCATGGTGCCTGGCATCCACTGGCTCGAGTTGATTCAATGATGGAGTGAAGAACCTTGAGGAGATAGGGAAGCAAGGACACCACATATACCTTATATCACAGTGAGAACGCTGCAGGTATCATGAAAGAGGAATGGAGTTCAAAGGAGAAGAGAGTTGCTACCAGGAACCAATTTCAAAAATTTTGTGAAGAATGTGGTGGGGTCCAGGCTAAGCCTTGAAGAATGACTGGACTGAGGCTAAAGTGGAGAGAGAGCATGAGCAAAGGCACAGGCTGTGTCAGTAATTATTTAACAAATGTCCCTGCAGTGCCTCCTGTATGCTGGGGGCTGTGAGGGGCAGTAAGGATATCAAGCCGCCGTCCCAGAGTTTGCCATCCTCCCCTGAGGGGGAGGAGGCAGGAGGGAGTGTATTGTGTGTGCATGCACATGTAGCAACTGTGTGTGTGTGTGTGTGTGTGTGTGTGTGTGTGTTGGGGAGGAGGGGGAGGGCAGTGATATAGGATTAAGGGGAGGTCAGGGGGAGACTATCAAGTTTGCTAGGCCCAGTCCAGAGCAACCAACTATCAAACTTGCAGGTCACGTTGGCCTTTATTCTCTACCTGCTATAAAAGGTGTTTGATGTGGAAGGAAAGAAAACTAGCACTCACTGAGCTCCTGCTACATACCAGTGAAAAGCACTTTACATACAATATT